AAAAAATGAGGGGATATACTTAAATATCATTGCTGCTGTATGTAGATGAGGTTTTTGTCCTATCCGAAAGAGAATTGGTTGAGAGATTTAGCCACTTAACTTAATAACACAGCTGGTGGAACTCCAGGGGGTCTTGGTTAAAGCTTTAGTTGGGTCATTATTTTCTGCCTTCACCAAAGCAATTCAGTTTGTGAAGAGGAATGAATAAACAAATAAAGACCAAAGCCTGAATACAGAATTAAAATAGAGGATTTTAAAATATATCAGCAGTAGAACAAACATCTCTAGTCTCAACAAATTTGGCATCCTTAGCAGCCTTTTCAGTGGAAGACAAATGTGCAAAGATGACAAGCTGTGTGAGAGTTATTTCACCAAAGAAGCGTTTTTAAAGCATCTTTAGTTGAATTTATGCAAAAAGCTGTGTCAGCAAGATGCAAATCTTAGCAATCATTATTTAAATGTTCAGGGTGCCGAACAAAAAGTTTGTTATTGTAGCCCAGTGAATTTTTATTGGTTTACTACTACCCAAAAATGCCCACTAGAACAGCTTGAAGTTTATGTTAGCTAATAAAATTGCTTGCCAAAAATCCTTAATTTCTGTGGCTGCTGTACCAGCAAAAATAAAATAACTGGAAAGCAAAGGTGGAGGAGAGCAGAGGGAGGTGTCAGTAAGGTTGAAAGTGATGAGTCAGGGTTTGCAATGACCTGGTTTTTCTTCCCATAGACATTTATAGCTTCATCTTCCCTGATTTTAAAATTCAGAAATTGACATTTTGTGAAATGGTTGATGGTGTACTATTAGGGACTTAATTAAGAGAGCACCTGCCTTCGTTTCCCACTGTTTCTTGGATTCTTTTGCAATTGATTTTATAATATACCTTATCTATCCGATGAGACAAATGCTCTATTAATGCAAATGTTTAAAATATAATGTTTTGCTAATGATCTAATCTGTCTTCCATAAATATCATTTAAGGTAACTTATATTCTGAGGAGATAAACTCTTTTGAAAGTTTGTAGCTACAGTATTTCACAACTGGCCAATCCCTCTGAACTTGCTGTTAGAATTGCCTTTTTTCCTATGATATTTAAGCTTTCAACATTTAACTGTCTTTTTGCATCAAAATTCATTATTGTAGAAGCACCCTGTGTTTATTATCAGTATCTTCTCATTCACCAGATTGTTCAGATTTGATTACTGATAATGTACATTTAATAATAGTGTAAATGTTAGAATATATTTATTAGCCTCATGTTTTTTTGTTAGTCCAAAAAGGACTGTCATTGTGTGCCAACAGATTCAGTAGCAAATCAAAAATTGTCACTGAAACATGTAATATATTATATTTGTAAGGGGCTGTGACTGTAGTTGGCAGATCAAAATAGCTTTTTATATTGAAGTGCTTTCTTGCAAATAGTGTTGCTTAGCAAAAATATTTATGTGAAATATTAGGACTCTTAATTATTCAGAATGTTTTCACTTCCATTTTCCATAGTTTTTTCCCTGTTGTTTTATAAATTTATAAATTCAGACCTCAGGGAACTCTGCTTTATTAGCACAGCTCTGAGAGAAGTTATATATGAACAACTGATTTATGCAGCGAGTGATAAATCTGTGAAATATAACTTTTTATTAGGATTAAAACACAATATTACTGAAACATTAATTAAGATAATCCTGCTTTTGGCCACAATAGTTCTAGTGACTTCTATGACTTTCCTTTCGTAGCTTAATTCTCCAAGTACTCATGTTTTGTTTAAGGCCTGTGTGAAAAATAGCTTTCTCAAAAATGGATTAGGATTAAAACTTCTATACTAATGCTCTGATAGTGGAGGAGCTTTGTCAAAGACAGATCGTGTTCTGTCTATGCTGTTTAAATTAGCATCCACCATTGTATAGGTGTTAGGAGTTCTGCTGAAGACCAGGCCAATTTATGGAACACAGAGATGGCCCTAACAGTTGGCACTAGTGCTCCTAAATACAACTAGTTATAACAGAACTCAAGAGACATCTTGATGTACTAGCAAGATGAATGTAATGAAATTAGTAAGGAAAGGGCTGTAGTGGAGGAATGTAACATAATCCATAATGCAGAGGGAAATTCAGATGAAGGAATTTTCAGGAAGGATTAAATCAAACATGGAGTTTGGTTTACTTTAAGCGGCTTAGTACTGGTGACAGCAATTAAACCGGGCAAATTTCTTTACTTCAATTGAGTCTGCAGTGAACAAGGTAGTGATGCTTTTTCACTTTGTATGGCACCTCCAGGATAGAATCAAGAAATGTTGGAACAATTTTCAACATGTTTTTCAAATGAAACTGATCAGATTTGCAGTTATTTCATTTCCAGTGTTGAGATAGGTCATAGGATACCTTGAAAAGATAACCTTGATAACTGCTTATCCTGTTCATATGGAAAGCTTTTCAGCATTTATTTCTTGAGGAATTTGTCAGACTACATAGAGAACTAAAGACCACCTTCTCGTTGCTCAGACTTTGCCATTAAATTGACTAGGTTTTAAGTTGTCCCTGTGGCTATTGAAGGAATTGTTCAGTGTCTCCTTAATTTTTAAAAAGGTCCTGGCTGACTACTCTTAAATAATTATTTTCTTAGATGTGGTGATTAAGAAAGTGGTGGCCATTACTGAGATAGTTTTGGTCACCCTGATGTAGATTTTGTTAGTAGGACCCTGTTAGCTGGGACACTGATGCTTAACATCTAAGTTACTGGAATAGTGCCTGTCCTCTAGAACAGGGGGTCGCCAACCTTTTGGACTTCAGGGACCACCCAACTCAATTTTAGATCCCAGGGACCACTAACTGGTTCTGTGGGTGTGGCCTACTTTATGGGCTTGGTGGTCATGTGACTGGCTGGGCATGCCTTGTATGTAAGTACTATAAATATTTATATAAATATTGAATTTTGTATAAAGAAGAGCAACTTTTACCTAAAATCAGGCAAAGCAGGCAGGCAAATCGAGTTGTTCACAGAATCACAGATTCATTCAGAAATCTATCTATCTGCCATTGGCTAGCTCAGTCTGTCACGTAAAATTTGCTTACAAGCAAACTCACAAAATTAACTCACAACACACCATGCATGTAAATATTGACTTTTTAATAAAAAAAAGAGCAACTTTTACCCAAAATCAGGCAAAGCAGGCAGACTAAGTTGCTCACAGAATCATTCAATGATCTATCTATCTGCCATTGGCTAGCTCAGTCTCTCAAATTTGCTAGCCGTGAGTCTGCACTGAATTTGCTTGCAAGCAAACCTTCAGTCCGAAGGGAGGTTCTGTTGTATTTAAAAGCAGAGCCAAAGATCTAAAGACTATCTAGAAAGCAAGAAATCCAACCATTTTCTGCTTCCTAGTGAATCAAAATCTCCCGGCACAGCAGAACAGATGATGGTCGGAAAAAGGAAAAATAGAAATTCAGCACGCAAGTTTGCTGGGTAAGGAGTGAGTGGGTGGGGAGGGTTCCCGCAGGCCATGTGGGCGGCGCAGCCTTGTGTTTCTGTGCAGCTGGCTTAATTGCTTGGGGGAATGCTCTGGGAGTGAGATTTCTCTGCGGCCCACCCAAAATTTTCTCATGGCCCACTAGTGGGCCGCGGCCGACCGGTTGGGGACCGCTGCTCTAGAACCCTTCATGGCCATTGTTTCATTTTTCATGTACATGGAACATTGGATTCACCTATAAGGCTTCCAGGCTGTACACTCCCCAAGAAAGTGTGTTTGATTCCTTCTTTCCCTGTATTTGGGAAAATCACAACAGGATGACCTTTTCCTTTATTTCAATGCTATTGTACTGATGTTGATTTTAAGTTTTGATTTCCATTATATTGCCTTTACAGTTATGTTTTATATGTGGTGCTTTTTAAAATGTGTGTAAATCACATTGAGGATACAGATACATTGAAAAGAGAAGTATAAATTCAGTAATAAAACCAGTAGTGAGATGAAGATAGCAGACCAAATGTAATTTTTTTTCCTACTGACAATGCATCAACTCAGTCATAAGTGATATAAAAATATCTCCAGAATATATTTAATCGGTCAGACCAGAGTGCTTGTGTGCATTGCATTTGATCGGTGATAGATTGAATGAATTCAAATGGCCAAAAGTATTTCCAGAGTTGAGGAGAACTCTCTGTATAATTTTTCTGTGGTAAATTACAATATTTGACTAAAATGTAAAATTAATATTCGTATTTCTTAACATTAATCAAAGAACTTTGGATTTATTTTGTTTCTAGCACTATATTTAAAGCAGGGATGAGCATCATTTTTTGAGCTGGGGGTATTCACTGGTCTTGTATTCTGGTAGGAGGACAAAAACAGGCAAAACTAGCAGTAGTTGTAACATGATGCAAAGGTCTATTCAAATTCATATGGAGGTAGCAAAACCATGATCTTCTCCATATGAATTGTTAATATATGGTTGAGATTCTCCCTTTAATCATGCCCCAAGCATTCCTGAAACAGATGAATTTGGGTTTTTTGGGGGGTAATAACAGCAGACCCAACTCCCAAAATAGTGAATAGAGCAAAAATGGCACTTTTTTAGTTACAGAGGCAGAAAATGAACAAAGGATTCCAGAAGAATTTTAGAAATGTCCATTGTGTCATATTCTGAAAGATCGTCATATTTCTCATGCAGGTTAAAAGGGATTTGCAAAAAGTATGTTTGAGAAATTGCCATTAAGTATAATTAGAATTTCCTGTCTTCTCATCTAATTTTATTTTAATATTTATTAATCTTTGTATTGTCTTATTTGTGTAGATGTGATAAAGTCCAAAGTAGCATTACTACCGTAGTTATAATGCCATGTTTAGCTACTTGGGACGCCAAGATTTAAATGCTTCTATAACTCATGCTGTAACTCAAATGTCATGAGATACAAAACAAAGTATTAACAACATTAAGTGTTTACCTTAATTTAAGTTAACGAATATGGAGGTCCCTAATTTTTCTCTCTATCATGTCTGCTTAACTTTAGGTTTTATGACAAGCATTCAAAGAAACCCTCAATTGTCACAATATGCATCTCAGCAGACTGGACCTTCTATGTCACCCCATCCTTCACCTGGAGGTCAAATGCATTCTGGAATTGGGAGCTTTCCACAAAGTAATTCAAGTGGTGCTTACGGAACTCAGATGAGCCAGTATGGGCCACAAGGTAAAATAATTAACATTAATCAATTTTCTACAGCTTATTCTATAGGAAAATGTGTTACAGGTAGTCCTCAACTTACAACAGTCCATTTAATGACCATTCAAAGTTACAATGGTACTGAAAAAAGTGACTTATGACTGTTTTTCACATGATCATTGTAGCATCCCCATGGTTACGTGACCAAAATTCAGGTGCCTGGCAAGTGATTCTTATTTATGATGGTTGCAGTGACTCTGGGGTCATGTGAACACCTTTTGTGACCATCTGACCAGCAAAGTCAATGGGGAAGCCAGATTCAACAGCTATGTTACTAACTTAACGGTTGCAGTGATTCACTTAACAACTTTGGGAACAAAAGTCACAAAATGGGGCAAAATTCACTTAACTGACTCACCTAGCAACAAAAATTTTGGACTCAATTCTGGGCCATAAGTTGAGGAATACCTGTATATGCCAAAGATGGTGATCATATCTTTTCTTTTTATACATATTCTAGCTTTTTATTTTTGACCATGTTAGAAAATAATTGTTTAAAACATGCTTAGCTTTTCCATTTTTTTCCTTTAAAATCCTAGCAAAATGCAATAACATGTATTTTTGAGAATGTCCTTTCATTTTTTCCTGCAATATCATTATTAAAAGTGCTAGTACAAAGGAATACTAATATGTACTTACTATCCCAACTTTTGTTTATTAAAAGCTGATTGGAAATACATCAGAATTTGCATATTCTGAGTTAGGGCAAAATGTTTTCCTCTCTCTCTTTTTTTGGAAAAGTGATCATAGTTGCAGTTGCCTATCTTAATAAAGTCACCTAACATAAGTATCCCTCAGGGGATGGGTAAAGAACAAGTTCCTAAGTCTTTCCTCTTTCCTTATTGTTAACTATTGTTTATATGGTCTGATGTAAGAGTAGTTTGGCACAGGTGTTTGGCATTTAACACAGATGTTTGTAGGATTTCAGCATCTCCAGTTTGATACTGACTCCCTTACAATCTGCCCTCAGAAGTTACAGTTTCATGCTGTTTGACATTGCCCTGGAATTTCACCATGGTTATTATGGATAATTGTGACGCAGATAGCTTGCAGTTGCTCCAACCAATAGATCTACCAGAGTGACAGGAGTATAACCCAACAGCAGGCTGTGGTCCAGAAACAAAAATGCTTCTTTGACAAACATGGGAACAAAATCAGGTAGAACTAAAACTGCTGTTTCGAATCTCGATATAGTACCATTTTCTCCAAAAAGTTTTTTTGATAAACCATTCCTATTTATTGTTATGTTAAAATGCAAAATAGTGTTGTGATAAATTCTTATCAATCTTCCACACTCAACAGTAGTTTTCACATTTTGCATCAATTTTTTTTTATTCTGGAGAACATATGTACATATCTTGTGATGGACCTGTCCCCAGTAGGTAAGACATTAGAGGAGAAATTTTGTATTGTATTATTGTGCCTTTCACAGCTATATGTATAAGATACCAGTTCAGACTCATCAAGTTAAGGATGTTAATATTTTTGGATAGATTATATCATGCATATACCTGAGACTTATTGGATGATCAGTATTAGTTTCGCTCTTAATATATAAATACAAAAATTGGCAATGGTACAACTCAACCTTCCAAAATGTGCCTAATTTTTCTTACAGAGCAACTAATGTAACTTAAGAGATAGTCCTGGCTTAGATCCATGTGAAAGTAACAACCAGCAAACTGAATGAGGAGCCTTCTTTTGAAATGATTCTTTAAAATTTATTTCTGGCACAGATGGTTCAATTTATTCAGTTCATTGGCAATTGAAAAAAAAATATTGTGCTTTGGCTTCTCAGCCAAGCAGCAGTTCCTGACTGACTTAGGCTTGGAACTAAGCAGGATTGGATCCAATTAGTATTTGGAAGAGAGATCTCTTGGGAATATCAACATTTGTAGGCTAGATGGGAAGCTGAAAAAGAATCCCACAAGGTAGTGGCAAACCCTTCTATATTGTTATTAAGGGAAAATATATGACTATCTCCACAAAGTCACTATGAATCAAGCTCAGTTTGAAGAAGACTCGCAGTGATTCTGCAGCTTTCATTTACCTTGACATCATAAATTAGATCATTCTTTGCGTGTGGATCAGGGTGATACCAGCTTATTTTTACCCTAGCAGATGATAGAATATTCTGAACAATTACTATAACATCATCTCATAAAGCTAAGAGTGTGGGCTGCCTGAAATTGTAAGTAATCTGTTATACAGTGAAACAGCCATGTGCTCAGCTCACAATTTTTCAGTTCCATTGTTGAATGTTACATTTTGCAACTTTGTGTTACTATCTGCTCAACTTTAAATGTTTTCTATGCCCTCATTTTCATCATATCAACTTTATTAGAATAAAGCAGCTCTCTGCTGTTAGCATATATAATATGAAAGAGATTGACTAACATATTTCAGTGACATTGTGTGATATGCATGGTTGTGATGGAGATCAAGAACATTAAACAAATTAGAAAGTCAATTATTTATTAAACTTGTGTGTCATCCAACTTTCAACTGTGGGTTGAAACAATCAAAGTACAACAATCAAAGTACTTTGCAATAAAATCAATAATATATACACTACTGAAACAGTTATCCTGAAATAACAAAAGTTCATTGGATTCCTTCTGAAAATGTTAGTGCTTTTCTATAGAAGTACGATTAGACTATGATCTTTATCTACTGATAAATTTCATAAACACCATTACCTTTGATATGATGAATATAGACATAGATAAAATTAGCAACATAATAGCTTCAGTCACAACAAACTAATGTACACTTGCAAGTTACAGCTGTTTATAAGAATCCACAAGAACATTGCAGTCTTCACTTTAAAAGGATTCAGAAAACCTGGAGCTGTCTTTAGTTGTTATTTTATAGCCCAGTGCTAATTATTAAGGAAGGGTGGACATGCTTCAAATTATTGGCAGAAATGCACACTGCTTTATAGCAGTCAGAGCTGATTTTTAGCTTCATGTGAGGATGTTTGTAAATAAATATCAAAAATACTTCAATGACAGAGTTACAGAAGATGCCTGAACTTTTAAAGATCCTTTGGCTACCATATTGACGAAAGCTTTTTGTAAAATAGTTTTTATAGCAAGTGTTCTTTAAAAGTTCTGACACCTTGTGTACTGAGTCAAGGAGATAGCATGCACTAGCTCAGCCCAGTATATGGAGAAAGATTTGACTGATTTGCTGAAAAATGAAGGAATATAAATGATGAAATATTAAGTCTGAAATATTAAATGTTCCAAAAGGAAGCCCTTTTTAGTAGTCTCTGAATGAAGGTGCCAATGTATACAGTAGTCCTTAAATGACCTAAGAAGAATTACACAGATAGTCCTCAGTTTATAACTGTTCATTTAACAACCATTACAATGGCCTCAGAAAAAGTGACCTACAAGCCAACCTTGAAGACTGTCACACCATCTGGCTGGTATTTACAACAGTTGCAACATATTGTTATCATGATTTGTAATCTACTCAGCAGGCTTACAAAATCAAAATTAATTGTGAAAGCCAGATTTACTCAACAACCATATATACTCAGGGATGGGATTCAAAAATCCCAGCAACTGGTTCGCTGCCTGGTTGCTGGGTGGGCATGGCCATGGTGAGCATGGCCTAGCGGAACTTCCAGGAGGGCCATTTTTCACCTTCCTCAGGGTCCAGAGGCTTCTCTCGGGCCTCTGGGAGTGTGAAAATGGCCTCCTCCAGGCTCCAGAGGCCCACCGGAAGCTGGAAACAGGCCTGTTTCTGGGCTTCTGGAACTTCCGGTTCAGCCTGTTTTTTGCCCTTTCAAAGCCTCCGTGCGGGCCCTGCACTTACCTGCATCTAAAATGGGCCAAATGGAGACTCCTGGGAGGGAAGGGGAGGGGTGGACAGGGCGGGGCGGGGCCAGCTGGTCAGTTCAACTACCAGTTCAGCGAACCAGATATAAATTTAACATCCAGTTTGCCCGAACTGGTCTGAAGCGGTAGAATCCCACCCCGTATATACTTCACAACCATAGTAAAAACTGTAGTAAAAACTGTCATAAAATTGGAACCATAATAAAAATAGTTATAAAATTCATGTGATCACTTGCTTTACAATTGCATCACTTAATGACCAAAGTTCCAGTCCCAATTGTGGCTGTAAGTCAAGGACTACCATTATCTGATGATATGAAATCTTCATTTTTGTGGTGTTTCAAATTGGATTTTTATTTTTATTTATTTTTTATTTTTATTTGTTCCTCTTTCATTTGGTGATGAGATAAAATTTTATGTATTTCTTGATATAACAATTATAAATATCAGGGCTCCAACAAATCCCCTCATTCAAAGCAAAAGTCTCTAGCCACATCTCAGAAAAAGTAAATTTGTTTATTAGAAATTGCCATGTTGGTGCGTGACTGGGTGTAGCCAGTACTAAATCACATCATACATTTCCCCCTTGACCCTGGTCTTTCCCCCACCCCCTGGATGTGACTTGTCCAATAGGACACATCAGTCTCCAAGAGTCATCCATCATGCTCTCCAATAACCTTCTTATGCTGCGACAACTTTGGGCTGCTGAGTTGATATTTAGGCATTTCAAGAATGCCTTGTTTTGGCCTTCCAGTTTCAGCTTCTTTGGCGACAGACAGAAATCCGTGATCATGTGCAGTTTTGGTCTGGGCTCACCGCTGGAGCGCCGCAAGCTGGCTGGCTTCGGGGCTAAGCCACACCGTAGAGGTGGTGAAGAGGGGGGAGACTGCCAGCAGGGTTGAGGAGAGCCGCATCTCCCCTCCTCAGCTGGCCATTACTTCCTTTCCCGAAGGCGGTTGCAGCGGTGGTCAGAAATGGCCACCTCAAAGAAGAACTCGACCAGAAAAGAATGTGCAGGAGGAAGATAAGAAGTGAAAGTTTTGGCTGACCAGGTTAAATTGCAAAAGCAACAAATAAGGTACCCTGGAATTTAAACTAAAAAAAAAATAACATCATTCC